GTTGTCACTTCGAAAATTGCTGGTTCAAGTGAATTTCTACAGAAAGTTTATGATTTAATCGAAGAAACTGATGAACGAGCATTCAGGTGAATCGAATTGCACATGTGAAGACTCATTTTATGTGTAAATGAGTATATATGCTCTCTTTAGTGATATCAGCTATTTATTGTAGATTCATGTACATTCATTCATAATAAGTTGTGCGATTTTGTATTAGCACGGAACATGGACGAAAAATGATTCGTTAATATTGTTGAAAATAGCTGAAAAATGGTTAATTGAAAAATGGCAAAACATTGATGAAAGAGTAATAGAAAAAGGAATAAGCATTTCATTCCGTATAGAACTGATATGGAGATTTCCATTCCAGATAAGCGATTCGGAAAATTAGTGCCTTTAATAAATTCTTTGAGAAAACTGTCAAATATAATTTATTTGCAAGTAAATGTACAGTGGGCATAGGTTACGCATCGTACATCATGAAGAAATCAACGATGATCAAGGCACTGAGCACATCGAGGAACGTTTGAATGCTTTGAAAAAATCTGAAGCTAGAATTATTCTCCTCTACAGTACGTTCAATGCAGCAAGGAAGATTTTCCAGGTTTTCCACTTCTTCCCAATCAATTTCGCATTCTTCATTTCGAACTATTCCACATTTACAGTGCAATGCAATTTTCTCTGTTGATCAATTCGAAAAGTCGCTCGTTTCAGCGTTGATTTTTTCAAAACATTCATCTCTCAAAGTCAAAAAGCAATGATCACATGCAATGGAATAAATTTTAAATTCCCTAATGAGGGAACCGTTCCGGAAATCTGATGACACGGCGATGCGAATTTTCAGGTAGCAAATGGCCTTGGTTTATTGAGCAGTAAATATCTTTGGATTGGAACACAATCGGTGAAAGGTTCGATGAGCAGTGCCACCTCACCGATCCAACCGGGAATGTTATCGATCAATTTTCACACTCTGTCAAATGCGATGTTTCCACCAACAGACGATGTTCTACCACTCATTATTGGTCTTGCTCCGAAGGTACGGTCGTCCTTCACCAAGTTGATGGGCATCTGAATGCCTCATGAGCATTATCGCTGGCAATGTTCTGTGCATCTGGAGTCATGAATCAAAATAATGCCCACAGGAAAAATGTCCTCTTGATCAATATTAAAGAAAGTCCGTCTATAAACAATTCAATGGGCTTTGTCTTGTCAAATGATGAGAGAATTAAGGGCAAAGCAAATTCTTCGCACAATTTTACACTTTCTGATTTCGCATGACGACTAATTATTCCGTCAAAAATTTCAACTGTTAATTGCAGTTGTTCGGATTGGCCTTGAGTAAGCTATCGCTCAATGAAACATTTTCTGTTCAGTCGACATCGACGTGTGACAATAATGCTAGTGTGACATCATGGCGTGAAGGAGGAATTATTTACGAGTTAGTTGATAAAAACTGTTATGTGAATTTCCCCGCAAGTGTAACGATTGCAATCAGATATAATGAGTTGCTTAAAATTCGCGATAATTCATTGCAGTTGTCTACATTTCAAGTGTTATTTGCTTAAATTCAGCGGTTCGAATGAAATTTTGATGTGACTTCAAGCTAAGAATGAATGCCCAAAGATAATTTGCGCTTACAGTTCGGAATGTTCAGTTCCCTTCAAACTGCGGCA